GAATTTTTACGTTTCGGAACTTATAATTCTTACGCGCCAACTTAAAGTCGCGCTGCAGCGTCGTCACGAATGACACTCTATCGACTTAAAAACTACAAGGCGTCGTCAGAATAAATGCGTGGACATAGGATATCGCGTTTAAACTCGGAATTTTTACGTTTCGGGACTTAGAATTTTTACGCGCCTTCTTAAAGTCGCGCTGCAGCGTCGTCACGAATGACACTCTATCGACTTAAAAACTACAAGGCGTCGTCAGAATGAATGCGTGGACATAGGATATCGCGTTTAAACTCGGAATTTTTACGTTTCGGAACTTATAATTCTTACGCGCCTACTGAAAGTCGCGCTGCAGCGTCGTCACGAATGACACTCTATCGAAGTAAAACTTACGAGATATTGATAAATTTCGTGCCGGGGCATAGGAAATCACGTTTAAACTACGAATTTTTAATTTTCGGGGCTTGCGATTTTTACCCGCCAACTTAAAGTCGCGCTGCATCGTCGTCAATAATGACACTCTATCGAATTAAAACTTACGAGATATCGATAGATTTCGTGCCGGGGCATAGGATATCGCGTTAGAAATAAAAAATTTGTAATTGGCGGAACTCGCGATGTTTTCGCGTCAACTTTAAAGTGGATGGATCGTCGTCCGTAATGACTCTAGCGAATCAAGAATTGCGAGACATCGGTAGATTTCGTGCTTGGGAATAGGCAATTGTGTCCGAACTGCAATATTTTTAATTTTCAGGACTTGCGATCTTTTTACGCCATCAATTTATAAAAGTGTAAAAACTTAATTTTATCGCAAACAAAAGAGGACCGCCGAGAAGAATTTGGCGGGGGCGGCGGAGGGCCTTTTTAGATTAACTTTTCTATTGTATGAAATTTTAAGTTGGTCTAAAATAATCTTTTATGCGATAGATTTTCGTTTGCGCATTTACAGTACGATTTTTGTTACACATTTATAGGTACAGTGGTACTGGTTTTATCAGATAATTACTGGTTACAGTAGTTAAATCCGAATAGGTGAACCCTCCGATCTTTTTTAAGCGACACTATTTTTTTATATTTTTGAACGCTGATTACGTATATGACAATAAAAATTTGCGATAAGGTCATTTTCAATTTCAAAACTAAAAAACTGAAGAAATATAACTTTAATTTTATAAACCTGTTGATTATTTAGTAATTTTGTACGATATATAATTTATGTATGTACGACTGATTTGTTCTTCGTGTTTTTTTTTCAGATTCTTGCATGGTATCGTCTCCTCCTGACGCTCTCTTTTGGCCGGTCCTTATACGCTGTTCGCGTATAGTGTTTGTTGGTGTCGGTACGACAGGTATCTTTACCTCACAACTGTCAGATTTTAACAATTAATTTATAACTCTCTTAGTAGTGCCGAGCGACAATTTTAACTTGCAAATTCGTTTTTTACAGGAAAAAATACATGATCCTATGAATTTTCATGATAAACGGAGAATGAGAGACTCTCCTTCAGTATTACCTGGAGACTTTATCGACAGTGCTTGAAAATGTGCGTAGCGGAGTAGTTTCAAAAATAAAAGTGGGCGTAAAGCGCTGGAAACTGCTTAGCGAAATGGTAACAAGTAAAACACCGGAGTGGCCGTTCTTAGGTTTCACTCTGTCTGTACGATATTTGTGTTTGTGGATCCGTTACCATGACAGCGTATTTGAATCACGGGGAGCGTAAAAGGGACGTGGCGGTATATTTACCGGATTTGTTATTTTTTACAGAATATTTTACGAAGGTGTCGATCGACATGACGGAGGCGACTACCAAGTCAGACGTGCAAATTATTTTGGGCTTAAAAGAGGGTAAGAGGCTTTCACAAAAATGTCCCCTAACTCCAATATCGCGAGAAACATTAATTGCAAAGACTTTTCTGAAATCTATGTCTTCCTTGAAGAGTCTTTACCAAATACATTTATTCCCTGTAACTGCACTGCAAATTATAACAGTGGAATAGAAAGAAGAAGGCGTTATCATCGGTTTGTGTACTCTACGAATTATATTATTGTCACCATAGATTAAGGAATTGTTACGCAGAACTGAAATCTACAAGAGACAGTCAAATTGTTATTTATCAAATTATTGCGATTAAATGGAACTTTATATGTGTTTATCATGTAGGGAAGGGTTTCGAACAAGTTTTACAACCGACGTTATTGGTTGGGACTTTAAACGGACATTCCTTGGAGACTGACAGAATCGAATCGTGTCCAACTCCGCAATACGCCACCAACTTGGTTTGGGAGACTAATAAAGTGGTGCTGAGAAGGTAAGAATGGCTCTTGTTTCTTTTTGTATAAGTTGCCATGAGACGTGAACAAAATACTGGATATTTCATTTCATCTTGTATTCAATTTATAGAATGCGATCAGAGCAGGCCTCACTAAAATTAGAATGCTTTGCTTTTAAAGAGAACGAAGGTAGAGAGAGAATTGGATATGTTCTGCTCAATATACGTTCTGCGCAAGTATTATCTAAATATGGGGATCTGAGTCCAAAGGCAAGTTGGTACAAATTGCTGGGATTAAGAAGCGATCTTAAAATACAAAAGCCTGAGTTACTTCTTGCGTTAAGAGTCGAGGATCGAAAGGACACAAATCTAGCTCCAGCAGCGGAGGTAAAATATATTTTCACTTTGTATGAATACTTGGTTTAATAATAATCGTGCACCTACAATATTATGAAATGAGAAACCATATATTAAATTGCAATCAGTTTTATTAAGTACATATAAATGCCTCTGTTGTATCACATAGCTAAGAAATTTAATGATAGACAAGGATGTTATCTTGGAAAGTGATAAAATAATTCCTTACTTACATCCTGATGAGCAATTGATTCAATTGGGGCCTGTGGATACCTGTTGCGAATTATTCATATTGAGTATCACGGCCGTGTGCACAGAACATTTGCATCTATTATTACCTGAGTATCTAAACAAGTGTAGCACCGTGCGTTTCTTATATCAAGTTCTGGAAAACGATGTGGAGCTTACACCATTCAAAACAGAGTCTGGAAAATTTCATTTCGTCCCTGAGAAAGTGGTAGTGAGGATACGAAGCTCTTTGAGCGTTTTAAAGCAATACCTACAATTGAAGCCAGATCTGTTAATACATTTAAAACATGAGAGTAATGTAGTAGCCGAGTCGTCAGTTAATCTGCAATCCTTAGTACCCGCGGACAGTCTGCAGGAATTTCTCAGATGCACTGCAAGTGCGAGCACTACCTTGAACGAACAATGTTTTTTAATTAAACAAAACTCGAAACCCATTGAAAATCAACATCAGAAATCTTATCTTGATTTGCAACTTAAATTGCAATATATTGGAAGTGGAACAAATATGTCATTGAACTCGGACGCGGCAGTAAACTCCAATTCCGTATCTAGCATTCGAATAAATTGTTATGAAGAAAGTGTAAATAATATTGACCAGGTAGATAACAAGAACCTGATCGTTTTATAGATAATCTTCCAGCCCGATGATTATAACACAATCGATAACAAAGATAACATGAAATTTAAAATAATGTCTGATTTCAGAGATGTCCGGAGATCGAATCCCACAGAAATCCCAGTGGTGATTTTGGAAAGCCCAGTTTGAAAAATATTCCTGGCGAAGTGAGATGTACAACGGAATGTAAAAATATAAATAAACAATCCGTTGAATGCTTTAAACATCAAATGGATAAAGTTACGTGTTCGCGCTCATGCTGCGATGCAATGTTCTCTGTTAATAAAAATCACGTCAAGGGCGTAGGATCTTATCACTGCTACTGTCTACGCATCTCGCTTGTGGCAGTAACATTGGTATCTGAAACACTGTGCGGACGAGAAATTGAATTTCGGTTTGTTTAATTTTAATGTTTTTTTTTCAATTAAAGGAATGTAATACGGAATGCATCTTTTTTTAAATACAATATAATCTTTTTAGATTTTACCATCCAAGAACTGAAGTCATATCAACAGCATATGCGACGATGCCGGTTTTGTCGAACGAGAAAGTGAAATTGCAAGATATCGTATGCCAATTTCATTTAATATCCGCACCAGACGAAATAAAACAATTACTGCAATCTTTCCCACTGAAAATCAGTATATACGACACAAACAGAGATGATGAGTTATCATTGTTAGTGCTTGATGTGAAACCGTTATTTCATCAAGAAAAGGTAATTCTAATATTTATAGAAACTATCTTTTAGAATATTAGAAATTAAAATAAGAACTTTTTTCAGTCCGAATGTCAGTATAAATTATCTCTGCTCGATACAGATCGAAATAAAATTGCCGATATTGATATTATACTCAAATTAGAGGATCGTGGACCGCATTGTATATTAAAGAAAGAAACCATCGGTAGGCACATAGTTTCTATTACAATTTTTTATTGCAATTCTTTCGTTTTCTATTATTTTATCTTTTAACGATATTCTTTGGTTCTGTATTTATTGAAATGGTATATTTAAGATAAAAACCTTGGCCCACCGATACTGGACGATAGTTTAGCATATAAAATAGTGGACGAGCTTGAAACTTGGAAAGAACGTCAAAAGGAGATGTTTAAGGACGTGGTAAAATAATGACAATGATTTCTATAACATTTAATAAAAGTTAAATTTAACGAAATATTATAATACTTACATGGGATATTATATAGCTTAAAAAAAAAGAAGATCGACATTTGAACATGCTGAGCGAGGAATGGCGAATGCAGAAGGAAAATCTGGAGTTAAAACTTGCATACAGTGTCGAACAGTGTAAGACATTAGCCAACAGTTTAAACAGCGCTACTGAAGATCTGAGAAAACGACGACTAAAGAGCCTGGAAAACGAGACAAGATTGATAAAAGCGAACGAGGATTTGCAATGCAGATATAAAAATAAGTTGCAAGAGTTACAAGATACCCTGCATGCGACACGAAACGATCTTACAACGAAGGTTTGTAAAGTATGCTCAAGTTGCATTACATTTTTAATTCTGCATCTCTCACTTATCACAAGCTTAAAAGTTGTTAAATATTGTTATTTCATGTACATACCTACGTGTCACACTGTGTTCCATGCAGGTCGCCAAACTTGAAGAGAAGAAAGTTGCTTTAGAGGCGCAAGTGGAAATACTGTCGTACGAAAATGAGAATCTGAAATCGTCGATAAGTAAACAGATGGATGAACTGAAAATATATCAGAAGGGATCTTTAACTCAGGATCAAACAGCGTCCTTGTTGCAGGAGGTGAAAATTCTCGAGGAAAAATTGGACAATGCGCAGAAGGGAAAGGAATTTTTTAGAGAGCAATGGGGCAAAGCGGTTCGCGAATTACATAGAATGAAAGTGGATTATCAAGAAACTATGCAAGTTCAAATCAAGAACAGTAGGGAGGAACTGATGAGTGCAGAGTATGTTATAACACTAATTTTGTACAAGGACAACCACCTCAGTCAAATCACCAATAACAAAATTTTAGATATAAACTGGTAGCTGAATTAAAACACAATAATAGAGTATACCCATTCTTTTTGACGTACAAATTAAATATCACATTTCTTAAAATGTTGGTGATAATCATTGGTTTTTCGCGCTTATACTTGAGATTTTTAGGAATCCAACAGTACGACGGCGTCACGATTGAAATACTCCTTACGATTTAATATGATTTGACAGAGGTGAAATATCCTGTACTAGCGTTAGATATTGTACAATTTCAGATTTTAAATTTTCACTGTTCTCGCATGCAGCCTCGCGGAAATATTATCTGCAGATAGGAAAGCTTTGAACAACGATCAAATGTTGTTAAACGAACTGCAGAAGGAGATCGATGTAATCAAGCCGAAGCAATCCTTCGCTCCCAAAGAAGCTTACAATCAAATATTCACAACAGCTGAAGACGTTTGTTACAACGTTCCGTGTAAAAGTAATAAAACTGTTTATGATAAATCAAAGGAATATAGCGAGCGGTTGCAGGCTCTGAGGGGGGAACACGAGTCCCTTTTAAAGACCGGAAATTATACAGACGATGATGTAGTGATAAAAAAACTTGACGCAGAGATTCGATTACTGATGAGCAGGTAGCGATTTTATTCCTGCTTAACTTCCTGTGATTAATTTTAATATATATAGAGAAGGCATACATTTTGGAATAAAAATCTACTACATGTTACACAGTAATTTATATACATTTGTACAAATAAATATTTTATATTGTAATCTTCTTAATCCTTTGGTGTTTCATCTACTTTCATAAAATATGGAAGTTCTCCTAAGGGAGCCTGATAATTCCTCACCCAGACTGGTCCATCATAGTACTCATCATAGCTAGTCTTCCATCTTCCTTTAGGTAGATAGATATCACGACTATCAGCACCCTCTTTGATCACTGGAGCGACTAGTATAGACTCTCCGAGGAGATATTCTGTAATCCAATTAAGCAGCAACATTTAATTATGTGTTGTTTACAGATCATTTCGCGTGGTGATTTCGATTTGTCAAGAACATCTGTTTATTAATAGAAACAGTTGTTTGACAAATTCGGAATAAAGTACATTTATTCTATCATTTTACCGTCATTAATCTTGTGAGCTTCACTGTTAGTCGGATCAATCCACCAAATAGGTGGATTTACGGGAGTGCCGTTTTCGATAGCCTGCTTCATGGCATTTACAATAATTTTCTGGTGATCGGCATGCATGTCGGTATACATTCTGCAGATCTCAATTGTCTAGTGCAAAATGCAGATAAATAATTTTTTCGCAATAATGTTTTGATCTAAGTAAGGAACTAATCTGTTATACAGCAATCCATGCATCTCACAATTAGATATGATTTTCCAGGTTACTCACTTCATCATCATAGTCCCATGGCACGAAAGAGTATTGCAACGCTGGCATAAAAACACTGGCCTGCAGCCATTTAATGAATAACTCTTTGGATGGACGCTCCGTTTCGTTGAGCGAACCGTCCAGATAGCCGTTGCCACCAATCATGTCTGGCAGCACGTGGACGTATCCGTTGAGATTCATCTGCAACAGTGTCGTGATCAGCGTGGGCAGACCGTTGTTCATCGACCACCTGGTGTCTTTGTCGATCATGCGAACGAATATCGGTAACTTCTGGGTACGCCATCCCGTCCGAACTTCGATGCTATCGCCAAATTGGGTGGCGAGTTGGCTGGTGTACTCATGTGTGAATATACCTGGCTGTACATCGGGCAAGGCGGTCAGCGTCGGCACCTGGGGTAACCAGGATACCTCACCGGCATCGAACTTGAAGCTGTGGATGCCGAGTTTCTGAAGACTCTTAATTCGCGTTATCCACCATTTCGCCGCCGCCGGATTTGTGAAGTCAATCGTAGCCGCATCTTTACCTGAAGAAGGTACAATTAAATAGTAAAATTGAAAATTTGAATAATCTACGAGGAGAATTTAGGTTTGCAAACAAACGTCGCTTTTGTTCTTCTTCTTAAATTTCTGAAACACTTTCAACTCAATTCTTACCTCGCCACCACGACATTTGAACGTCTCCCTTTTCGTTTTTGACAAAGTAAGACTTGTTCAGCGCCTCAGAATACGCTGGGTCGCAGTCTCGGTTGATGAACGGATGTATCCACAGGGTGACACGGAAGTCTTTCTCCTTCAGCCGTTGCACGAAAGCTTTAACATCGGGAAACTTGACGGGATCGAACTTGGCAGATCCGTAGCAAGTCTCCCAGTTGTCGTCAATTTCAATCTGACCAGTGGCAAATTGATTTTTGATAATCTCTTCCGCATAAGCCTCCACCACTTTCTCGGAGACGCTTGCCTTGTATCTAGCCCAGGTGGACCATATAGGTTGCTGAATCATCTGTTTATCGGGGTGGCCTTCCGGCTTACCCAGATAGTTTTCCACCGCATGCAGATGAGCAGTTTTCGAATCCGGGAAGACACCTAATGTGTAGATAAGCTGGATGCTATCGCGATGATGATAAGGCGCCTGGTTCTTGGCGATCAGGCACAGGTGCTTATCCCGATAATTGTTTTGATCTAGGAATAGCGGACTTGTCTCGTTCACGTAGATGTAAACCCCTTTACTGGACAACCAATAACGCTCGGCTATTGCCATGTTTGTAGGATGCGTCGGCAGGTACGGCTCCTCCTCGTAGCGCATATTCTGTACGGGCCAGTACTGATAGCGATACTGGGGCCCACCGAACCATTGTGTATCGTCAGCAAGTTGGAAACAATCTCGAATTTCACCATCGGGATCGGTGAGCGTACGAGTGACAATGACGATGTTTTTCTCTTCATCATATTTGAGGTTGGTTATAGCTGCACTTGCTGTTGGACTCTTCGAGAAGAGGAAATTGGTCATGCTCATTACGTCTGAAACAAATATAGTATTCATCCATATTGTTTCTTCATCGGAATCTATCACGAGGCACGGTAGTGTCTCGCGTCAAGTATAAGCGTAGCTAGAACCGCGAGCGCGTGGCCGACCGTAAAAATTAAACAGGAGGTATTAATTAGCAAGAAAAAACATTAAACTCTAGTTTTTCCAACCTCTTGGTAAGCTAACTAACAGTTAAATTGTATGTATCTTTGTTTAATTTGAAGGAAAAACAAAAACATATATGATTTAACTATTAGCTAACTCACCAAGAGGTTGGAACATCCAGCTCTAAAACTTGCGAAATTAATTAAAGTAATGACTCGGGAAACGAACACCTTTATGTTAAGAAATTAATAGAGATTATAAAAAAATTTATTTAACAAAATAACATAAATAACATAAAACGTTAGGTATTATGACTCACCATTCTTAAGTATAAGAGTGGTGAAAGCAGTATTATCGCCTGTGTCCATCTCAAGTTCAGCATTCTTTAACTGCACTTTAATTCCTCCAGCAACAGTGAGGAATAACAGTATTATCGAAGAGCGCATCGCTAAAACAGACATAATTATACTTAGTTTCTTAGATAATACAAGTCTTAAAGGAACGTCGCAGAAGAGGATACTTTAGAAGAGCTACTGAGACTGTGCATATGTACACTTGTATGTCTCTCAGATAGTTTGTATATATTTTCATATTATTTGATTTTGATTCAAGTGAACTGTTCACTTACCGCTCCGTTCCAATAGATACATTTTGTTTGTCATACCATCTCTGACGACTAAATAAACTTATTTAGTCTGCTTATATATATTCGGAAGAGAGGTGCATTCTGCTGATAATGATTTTTACATCAGCAGGAAGAATATCAATCACGTTCGGTCAATCTATAAAATCGGATATCAAATCATATACCTAGTTCTACATTGTACGTCAATACTAGGAATATTACATAACTGTACGATACAGAGTTTTAATCACTGATATCTCTGCAAAACTTTCCACATATTGTGTATTTAGTTTTTCAGATATAATATTTATATATATTCGTACTGTCTGATAAAACGCGAAATAAATGTATGTTTATGTTTTTGTATGTCTTAATCTACGTATTTTCAGAAATTATCCACGATAATTTTTATAATATTTTTGCACATACTTATTTTAATAGTTATTGGTTTTAAATGCTTACATATATATATAATATTAGAATGTTTTGGTGTATTTTAATAATTTGCTGCGTTGCATCTACAAGTTGATTATAATTCGGTCGGACATAATTTTCAAGCATTACTCGTACTTATCTATTTAATTTTTTTTCATTCTGTTACATTCTATTCTAGAGGAGCGTAACGTAACAAAATATCGAGAGTACTTTAAAAAATACATCATCTAAATTCGTATTGAAAAAAAGTGAAAATCGACACATAATCTCAATTGTTTTTGCGTTTTTGTTTAACAAGAAATTGAAAAAAATATATAATACTATATCTGTGACAAGTTGTAAGATAATAGTGGAAATAGTTCAAATAAGAAAAGTAAATATATCGTACGATTGCGGTGGCAACTGTAATTATATTGATGTATTTAATGTACGATAAGTTTCGTTCTATCAACAACATTATCAATCATGAATATCAGATATTTTTTGCAAGCAGCAAAAAATTTTTATCTATTATCTATCATTTATTACTTACATTTATTACAGAAATACGTCCTCAATAGGTTTCAAATAATACTATAACTGTTAAACATAGAGAGGACAAGTTCGCTCATAAGGAATCAGAAGAAATTACAGTAATATTAATTTTCGCTTTTATAATTCAATCAAGATAATATGTTATTTTATTTTGATATTTTATGCAACATTTATTAATTTACTATTCATTATTTTAATTTAATATTTAAAGAATACAATACATTTTAAAATATATGACAATATTAAAGATACGAGGTACATTCTTATTTCGCTCGACACGTGGCAAAATTTGATTTTGAATTAGAGAACGAAGCAATTAGAAATACATCCGCTCTAAATTATTGATAAATAAGTGGATAAATTACTGTCTTAAAAAGAATCTTTAACTCATAATTAAACAGCGTCCTTGTTGCAAAAAGTGAAAATTTTCGAAACAAAATCAGATAATGTTCGAAAGGAGAGGAAATTTTGTAGAGAGCAATATTGGATCAAAGTGCTTCGTGAATTGCAAAGATTGAAAGGATAATCAACAAGCTATGTAAGTTCAAAGCGAGAACGGTAGAGAGAAACTGATGAGCGGAGTATGTTATAACTGTACTATTTTAATTAATTTTATATTTGCAAGGAATCTTACTTCAATCAAGGCACTAATGAGACAACATTTTAAATAAATTATTATAAAATAAGAATACTAGAACATCTTTATTTTTGCGATATACTGTATGTTAAAATTTTGTTAAATGTTGATGATATAAAATCATTTTCCACATTTATACTTTACATTTTTACAGAATTGAACAGTATAACATCACACTCGAAATACGAGTCGAGAAAATGAACATTCTATACTGACATTAGATATTGCACAATTCCATATGACTTAAATTTTTACATTATTCGTGTGTGTTCTCGCGGAAACATTGTGCGTAGATAAAAAAAGCTTTGAACAAAGTTTGCTCAATAAGCTAAAAAGGAAATAGATGTGATCAAGTTTGAACAATCCTTTGTTCCAAAGAAAAGCTGCACTTAAATATTTACGATAGTCGACAACGGCTGTGATAAAACCGTTTATAACAAATCAAAGGAATATAATGAACGGTTGCAGGTGCTGCAGAACAACTGTAAGTCCCTTTTAACTGGACTGGAAATTACATGCTGGATGACGTAATGTTAAAAAACTTAACACAGATATTAGAACCTTATCAGTAAGCAGGTAACGAATTTATTTTCTGCTTAGTTTTCTTTGATTAATTTTCATACATGAAGGGCAAGTATTTTCAAAATATAATTCTATGGCATAATGATTGATAATTTATATACATTTGTACAAACACTTAATAATCCTATCGTGCTTCTTTTACATTCTTAAAATACGGAAGTACATCCAAGGGAGCAGGATAGTCTATCAGCCAAATCGGTCCTTCATAAGTTGTCAAGTTTTTCACATTTGTACAAATAAATATTTTATATTGTAATCTTCTTAATCCTTTGATGTTTATTCTACTTTCAGAAAATATGGAAGTTCTTCTAAGGGAGCCGGATAATTCCTCACCCAGGCTGGTCCATCATAGTACTTATCATACATATTCTTCCATTTTCCTGTAGGTAGATAGATATTGCGACTAGTGGCACCTTCTTCGATCACTGGAGCGACTAGTATAGACTCTCCGAGGAGATATTCTGTAATCCAATTAGGCAGCAACATTTAATTATGTGTTGTTTACAGATTATTTCGTGTAGTGATTTCGAATTGTCACGAACATCTATTAATAGAAACAGTTGTTTGACAAAATCGGAATAAAGTTTGTACATTTATTCTATCATTTTACCGTCATTAATCTTGTGAGCTTCACTGTTAGTCGGATCAATCCACCAAATAGGTGGATTTACGGGAGTGCCGTTTTCGATAGCCTGCGTCATGGCTTTTACAATAATTACCTTGTGATCGGCGTGCATTTTGGTATACATTCTGCAGATCTCAATTGCCTAGTGCAAAATGCAGATAAATAATTTTGTCGCAATGATGTTTTGATCTAAGTAAGGAACTAATCTATTATACAGCAATCTCACAATTAGATATGATTTTCCAGGTTACTCACTTCATCATCATAGTCCCATGGCACGAAAGAGTATTGCAACGCTGGCATAAAAACACTGGCCTGCAGCCATCTAATGAATAACTCTCTGGATGGACGCTCCGTTCCGTTGAGCGAACCGTCCAGATAGCCGTTGCCACCAATCATGTCCGGCAGCACGTAGACGTATCCGTTGAGATTCATCTGCAACAACGTTGTGATCAGCGTGGGCAGACCCTTGTCCCACGTCCACTTGGTGTCCTTGTCGGACATACCAACGAATATCGGTAAACCCTGGCTGCGCCAACCCACTCGCACTTCGGTGCTGTCGCCAAAGTTGGTGGCGAGTATGCGAGTGTATTCCTGCGTGAATATACCTGGCTGCAACTTGAACGAACTGTACAACAGCGGTATCTGTGGTAACCAAGACACCTCACCGGCAACTAACTTGAAGCCGTCAATGCCGAGAGCCCGAAGACGCTTCAATCGCGTCAGCCACCATGTTACCGCATACGGATTTGTAAAATCAATCGTAGCTGCCTCCGAACCTGAAGAAGATACAAGTATGGCATAAAAATTCGAATAATTTACGAGAACGTTTGCAAATAAACATCGTTTGGGTTTCTTCTTTTATTTCTGGAACAATACTTTTAACTCAATTCTTACCTCGCCACCACGACATTTGAACGTCTCCCTCCAGGTTTTTGACAAAGTAAGACTTGTACCGCGCCTCAGAATACGCTGGTTCGCAGTCTCGGTTGATGAACGGATGTACCCACAGAGTGACATGGAAGTCTTTCTCCTTCAATCGTTGCACAAAAGCGCTAATATCGGGGAACTTGACGGGATCGAACTTGGCAGATCCGTAGCAAGTCTCCCAGTTGTCGTCAATTTCAATCTGACCAGTGGCAAATTGATTTTTGATAATCTCTTCCGCATAAGCCTCCACCACTTTCTCGGAGACGCTTGTCTTGTATCTAGCCCAGGTGGACCATGTGGGATGCTGGATCATCCGAAAATTTGGGTAATCTTGTGGCTTACCCAGATAGTTTTTCACCGCGTGCTGATGAGCAGTTTTCGAATCCGTGAAGACACCTAATGTGTAGATAAGCTGGATGTTATTGCGATGATGATAAGGCGCCCGGTTCTTGGCGATCAGGCACAGGTACTTATCCCGATAATTGTTCTGATCGAGGAACAGCGGACTTTCCTCGTCCACATAGATGTAAATTCCTTTACTGGACAACCAATAACGCTCGGCTATTGCCATGTTTTCAGGATGCGTCGGTAGATACGGCTCCTCCACGTAGTACATATGCTGCACAGGCCAGCGCTGATGGTGATGCTGGGGTCCACCGAACCATTGTGTATCGTCAGCAAGTTGGAAACAATCTCGAATTTCACCATCGGGATCGGTGAGCATACGAGTGACAATGACGATGTTTTTCTCTTCATCATATTTGAGGTTGGTTGCAGCTGCACTTGCTGTTGGACTCTTCGAGAAGAGGAAATTGGTCATGTTCATTGCGTCTGAAACAAATATAGTATTCATCCATATTGCTTCTTCATCGGAATCTATTACAAGACACGGTAGTGTCTCGCGTCAAGTATAAGCTAGCTATGTAGCTAGAACCGCGCGTGCGTGGCCGATCGTAAAAATTAAACAGAAGGTATTATTTAGCAAGAAAAAACATTAAACTCCAATTTTCCCAACCTCTTGATAAGCTAACTAATAGTTAAATTGTATGTATCTTTATTTAATTTGAAGAAAAAACAAAAACGTATATGATTTGACTGTTAGCTAACTCACCAAGAGGTTGGGACATCCAGCTCTAACACTTGCGAAATTAATTAAAGTAATGACTCGGGAAACGGACACCTTTATGTTAAGAAATTAATAGAGATTATAAAAAAATTTATTTAACAAAATAACATAAATAACATAAAACGTTAGGTATTATGACTCACCATTCTTAAGTATAAGAGTGGTGAAAGCAATATTATCGCCTGTTTCCATCTCGAGATCACCATTTTTTAACTGCACTTTAATTCCTCCAGCAACAGTGAGGAATAACAGTATTATCGAAGAGCGCATCGCTAAAACAGACATAATTATACTTAGTTTCTTAGATAATACAAGTCTTAAAGAAACGTCGCAGAAGAGGATACTTTAGAAGAGATACTGAGACTGTGCATATGTACACGTGTATGTCTCTCAGATAGTTTGTATATATTTTCATATTATTTGATTTTGATTCAAGTGAACTGTTCATTTACCGCTCCGTTCCAATAGATACATTTTGTTTGTCATACCATCTCTGACGACTAAATAAGCGGCGCCGTTTATTTAGTCTGCTTATATATATATTCAGAAGAGAGGTGCATTCTGCTGATAATGATTTTTACATCAGCAGGAAGAATATCAATCACGTTCGGTCAATCTATAAAATCGGATATCAAATCATATACCTAGTTCTACATTGTACGTCACTACTAGGAATATTACGAGACTGTAAGATACAGAGTTTTAATCAGCGATATCTCTGTAAAACTTTCCACATGTGGGTATAGTTTTTCAGATATAATATTTATATCTATTCGTACTGTCTGATAAAACGCGAAATAAATGTATGTTTATGTTTTTGTATGTCTTAATCAACATATTTTCAGAAATTATGCACGATACATTTATATAATACTTTGTACATACTTATTTTAATAGGTTTGGTTTTAAATGCTTACATATATAGAGGATGTTAAAAAACAATTCAATATTTATATGGTAGATAGGACACACCATACTGAGTAAAAAAACCTAAATAAACATAAGTCGAAAACTCAACCGTTTCTGAGATATAAACATTTTTGCATGTTAGAATCATATGATTGACTTACTGGCTTCTATGTCGCATGCGACGTGAGAAGATGATCTGTCTAAATTATTATCTCGATATTTACAGAAGGTGTTCCATATGTATGTCCTTTTTCTATTTCCATACACGTTTGGCATCTTCTTCTTACAGAGTCGCGAACTCTCTCGAAAATTCCAGGTCTCTGTCGAAATATTTGACAAGCAGGCTGGATTCGGTCACGTAATTCTTGTATAAGTCATGTATAAGCGAAGAATACACTATGCTTTTCAAATATTCCCATAAAAAGATCAATGGATTAAAGTCAAGGGTTCGAGGGAAAACATCTCACGCGACATGTAGAACCCTGTAATGTTTATATTTCAGAAACGGTTGAGTTTTCAACCTATATTTATCTTTTTTTTACTCAGTATGGCGTATCCTATCTACCATATAAATATTGAATGCTTTTTTGGTATACCTTGTATATAAAAAATTAGAATTTTTTGGTGTATTGTAATAATTTGTTGCGTTGCATCTACAAGTTGATTATAATTCTGTCGGACTTAATTTTCAAGCGTGTACTTAAATTTTTATTTTTTTCGTATGCGTTCTCGCGGAAACATTGTGCGCAGATCGAAAACCTTTGAACAACGATCAAAGTTTGCTCAACAAGCTACAAAAGGAAATATATGTGATTAAGTTTGAACAATCCTTTGTTTCAAAGGAAAGCTGTACTTAAATATTGACGATAGTCGATAATGAGACTGTAATAAAACCGTTTACAACAAATCAACGGAATATAATAAACGGTTGCAGGTGCTGAAGAACAACTGTAAGCCTCTTTTAACTGGACTGGAAATGGTAGCTGGCGTAATGTTAAAAACTTAACATAAAGATTAGAACCGTATCAGTAAGCAGATAACGAATTTATTTCCTGCTTTCTTTGATTAATTTTCATACATGAAAAGAAAGCATTTTCAGAATAAAAAGTTATGGCATAATGATCGATAATTTATATACATTTGTACAAACACTTAATAATCCTTTCGTGCTTCTTCTACTTTCTTAAAATATGGAAGTACATCCAGGGGAGCAGGATAGTCTATTAGCCACATCGGTCCTTCATAAGTCGTCTCGTTTTTCACATTGTACCATCTTCCTGCCGGTAGATAGATATTGCGACTAGTGGCACCTTCTTCGATCACCGGAGCAACAAGTATAGACTCTCCAAGGAGATACTCTGTAATACGATAAATCAGCGACTAGTTATGTATTATTTACAGATCATCTCGCGTGTTTATCGCGATTTATCAAGAACAACAATTTATGAATAAAAATAATGGTTCAGATATTTGGCAAATCTGGAATACATGCATTTTTACAGTCTTACCGTCATTGATTTTGTGAGCTTCACTGTTGGTCGGATCAACCCACCAAATAGGCGGATTTACGGGAGTGCCATTTTCGATAGCATGCTGCATGGCGTTTAGAATTTCATCCGTGTAATTGGCGTGCAACTCAGTATACTTTCTGCAGATGTCAATGGTCTAGTAAAATGCAGATAAATGTTATTTTTTCGCAATGATGTTTTGATCTAATTGTAAGTAAGGAACTAATCTATTATACAGAAATCCATGCATCTCACAATTAGATATGATTTTCCAGATTACTCACTTCATCATTATAGTCCCATGGCACGAAAGAGTATTGCAACGCTGGCATAAAAACACTAGCCTGCAGCCATCTAATGAATAACTCTCTGGATGGACTTTCCGTTCCGTTGAGCAAATCTTCCAGATAGCCATTGCCACCGATCATGTCCGGCAGCACGTAGACATATCCGTTGAGATTCATCTGCAACAGCGTTGTGATCAGCGTGGGCAGACCGTTGTCCCACGTCCACTTGGTGTCCTTGTCGGACATACCAACGAATATCGGTAAACCCTGGCTGCGCCAACCCACTCGCACTTCGGTGCTGTCGCCAAAGTTGGTGGCGAGTATGCGAGTGTATTCCTGCGTGAATATACTTGGCTGCAACTTTAACGAGCTATACAATAGCGGTATCTGTGGTAACCAAGACACCTCACCGGCAACGAACTTGAAGCTGTCGATGCCGAGGTCCTGAAGACGCTTCAATCGCGTCAGCCACCATGTTACCGCATACGGATTTGTAAAATCAATCGTAGCTGCCTCCGAACCTGAAGAAGATACAAGTAAACGGCATGAAAATTTGAATAGCTTACGCGAACGTTTGCAAATAAACATCGTTTGGGTTTCTTCTTTTATTTCTGGAACAATACTTTTAACTCAATTCTTACTTTGCCACCACAACGTCTCAACTTGTCCCTCGTGGTTTTTGACAAAGTAAGACTTGCTCAGCGCCTCAGAATACGCTGGGTCGCAGCCTCGGTTGATGAACGGATGTATCCACAGAGTGACACGGAAACCTTTTATGTGCAGTCGTTGCACGAAAGCGCTAACATCGGGGAACTTGACGGGATCGAACTTGGCGGATCCGTAACAAGTCTCCCAGTTATCGTCAATCTCAATCCGACTGTTGTTAAATTTATGGGCGATGATCTCGTCCGCGTAAGTCTCCACGACTGTCTCGTTGACATTGATCTTGTATCGAGCCCAGGTGGACCATATGGGATGCTGGATCATCAGTAAATTTGGGTAACCTTGTGGCTTACCCAGATAGTTTTTCACCGCGTGCTGATGAGCAGTTTTCGAATCCGGGAAGACACCTAATGTGTAGTTAAGCTGAATGCTATTGCGGTGATGATAAGGCGCCTGGTTCTTGGCGATCAGGCACAGGTGCTTATCCCGATAATTGTTTTGATCTAGGAATAGCGGACTTTCCTCGTCCACATAGATGTACATTCCTTTACTGGACAACCAATAACGCTCGGCTATTGCCATGCTTTCAGGATGCGTCGGTAGATACGGCTCCTCCACGTAGTACATATGCTGCACGGGCCAGCGCTGATGGTGATGCTGGGGTCCACCGAACCATTGCGTGTCGTCAGTAAGCTGAAAACAATCGAGAATTTCACCATCGGGATCGGTAAGCGTACGAGTGACAATGACGATGTTTTTCTCGGCATCATAGTTGAAGTCGGATATAGCTGGACTTGCTGTTAGACTCCTTGAGAAAAGGACATTAATCATACTCGTTCCGTCTGAAATATAGCATTCATTTTTACTGCTCCTCCATTAGAATCTATACACATTAAACAGTGGGGACATTAATTAGCAAGAAAAAAACCTATTAAAGCGGAAATGATTGAAGTGATAACTTGGGAAACGGGCGCATGTATGTTGAAAAGTTAATAGACATTAGAGTAAAAAGTTACTCACCGTTTTTCGTAAGATTGAGAACTATGGAATTATAATTATGTTTCATGTCTATATTGATAACGCCATTTTTTATCAACATTTGGACTGCTGTAGCAGCAGTGAGGAATAACAGTATTATCATAGAACGCATCACTGAAACGGACACAATTATTTTCTTATATAATACAAATGTCTTAAAGAAACGTTGCAAAAGCGTTTAGAAAGGATGTTGTGTGTATATATATATATAAGGTGATTGTATGTCTCATAAATATGTCGCTTGTATTTTCGTCTATTATTGAATTTTAATCCAAGAGGAAACAGTTCACTCCTACTGCTTCGTTACAACGCGAATACATTTTACTCGTTATACTATCACTGATGACCAAATAAGGAGTGCCTCATGCCGTCTGCTCACACAACTCGCCCGATAATACAGCTACATTTTGTAGATATTATTATATCATTACGCATATCAAGGACGTATCCAGGTGGAGGCAGGGGGGCAGCTGCCCCCCTCCTAGACTCAATGGGATCCCCGATATATCGCTAAGGTTTATACCTATAATGTAATAATTATGATTGGTTGAAAGCATGGGCGATTCCTTTACAAATAATATAATTAATAGATTTCCCGAGGACCCCAGAAAATTAATTTTTGTATAAATAAAAATATGTTTTCATAAGTACGTAGTTTAATTTATGCTGCATAATTCGCCTACGGGTGAATTCTGTTCTGCCCCTCCTTCCCCTCCTAGATAAAAGTCTGGATACGCTCATGCATATCAATCACTGTCGGTAAATGGATAACTAAAATGGATATGCTCGAAAAAATCATAAATAATGTAATATGCTTAATTCTGCAGTGTACTCGTATATTATTACAAGAAAGGTTATACAACAACATGATATCTAATTGCTAATCACCAATATCTTTGCAGAATTTTTCATATATTATGTAGTTTTTAAATTTCTCGATATCTATTGTCTTATGAACCGCGCAATATATATATACATGTTTTTTTATGTCTTAATCTGTATATACTTACGAATTATTTCAACACGGTTATACAATTTCGTACATATCTTTTAATATTTTTTAGTTATTTAAATGCCTACACACAAACTATTATAATTTCTACTACATTTTGATTATCTGTAGCATTTACAAATTAATAATGTTATTCTCTCGGATATAATTTCCAAATTATTTATGCTTATTTACTCACTATACATTACTCTAACATTAATTCTGTTTGTAGAAGGAATCCTACTGTAATCAAAATATTAATAGCAAAATTTTAGATAAATTGGTAACTGAATTGAAACAAAAATTAAGCTAGATAATAAAATATCTTCATTTTTGTGACATATTTTAGGTTAAACATAAAATGATGATATTAAATTGTTTTCGACACTTATACTTTACATTTTTATATCTTTAGATTTGAACAGTATCACAATTTAAATACTTAAAACGATGTAATTTGAGAAATAGAACTTCCTGTACTTATGTTAGATAATGTGCATACAATAATCCCATATGATTTAATTTTTCACTTTTCTTGCATGCAATCTCGTAGAGATATTGCGTGCAGAAAAGCTTCGAACAATGATCAAACTTTGCTGAACAAGCTGCAGAAAGAAATAGATGTGATTGAATAATTCAAGTTTGAATAATTCTTCGTTTCAAAAGAAAGCTGCAATAAAACCGTTCATAACAAATCAGAAGAATACAATGAGTAGTTGAAATTGCTGAGAGACAACAGTCTCTTTTAACCGGACTGGAAATTACATGCTCGATGACAGAATGATAAAAAAGCCTGACGCAGAAATTCAATCCTTACTAATGAGAGGTAACGAATTTATCTCCCATTTAACTTTCTGTGATTAATTTTCATATATAAAGAGAAAACATACATTTCGCAATAAAAATCTATGACATGTTGCACGACAATTTATGCACATTTGTACAAATAAATGGTTTATACAGCAATCTTTTTAATCCTTTTGTATTTCTTCTACTCTATTAAAATATGGAAGTACACCTAAGGGAGCGGGATAGTCTATCACCCATATTGGTCCATCATGAAATCTATTTGTATACTCATCATACCATATTCCTGCGGGTATATAGATATTGCGTTTATCAGCACCTTCTTCAATTACTGGAGCGACTAGTATAGACTCCCCAAGGAGATACTCTGTAATCCGATTAAGCAGCAACATTTAATTATGTATTATTTACAGATCATCTCGCGTGGTCGTCGCGATTTATCAAGAACATCAATTTATGGATAAAACTAATGGTTCAGATATTTGGCAAATCTGGAATACATGTATTTTTACAATCTTACCGTCATTAATTTCGTGAGCTTCACTGTTGGTCGGATCAACCCACCAAATAGGTGGATTTACGGGGCTGCCGTTTTCGATAGCCTGCTTCATGGCGTTTAGAATTTCGTCCGAGTAATTGGCGTGCAATTCAGTATACTTTCTGCAGATTTCAATGGCCTAGTAAAATGCAGATAAATGTTATTTTTTCGCAATGGCGTTTTGATCTCAGGAGGGAACTGAATTCTTCAATCTAGCATACAGCAATCCATGCATCTCACAATTAGATATGATTTTCCAGGTTACTCACTTCATCATCATAGTCCCATGGCACGAAAGAGTATTGCAACGATGGCATAAAAACACTGGCCTGCAGCCATCTAATGAATAACTCTCTGGATGGACGCTCCGTTCCGTTGAGCGAACCGTCCAGATAGCCGTTGCCGCCGATCATGTCCGGCAGCACGTGGACGTATCCGTTGAGATTCATCTGCAACAGCGTCGTGATCAGCGTGGGCAGGCCGTTGTTCATCGACCATCTGGTGTCCTTATCGATCATGCGAACGAACATCGGTAAATCCTGACTGCGCCATCCCACTCGCACTTCGATGTTGTCGTCAAAGTTAGTAGCGAGTATGCGAGTGTATTCCTGCGTGAATACGCCTGGCTGCACCTCTAGCGGGGCGTTCAGTATCGGCACCTGTGGTAACCAGGACACCTCACCGGCATCGAACTTGAAGCTGTCGATGCCGAGGTCCTGAAGACGCTTCAATCGTTTCAGCCACCATGTCACCGCCGACGGATTTGTGAAATCTATCGTAGCCGCATTCGAACCTGAAGAAGACACAATTAAATGGCATGAAAATTTTAATAATTTATAAAGATATTAGCAAAAAAATTGCCATTATATGCTTCTTCTTAAATTTCGGGATTGCTATTAAATCATCAACTCTTACCCTGCCACCACGACATCTCAACGCGTCCGTCGAGGTTTTTGGCGAAGTAAGAATTGTCCAGCGCTTCAGAGTACGCTGGCTCGCAGCCTCGGTTAATGAACGGATGTATCCACAGGGTGACGCGAAAGCCTTTCTCCTTCAGTCGTTGCACGAGAGCGCTAATGTTGGGAAACTTAACGGGATCGAACTCGGCGGATCCGTAGCAAGTCTCCCAGTTATCATCAATCTCGATCTGACTGTTATTAAAATTATGAGCGACAATCTCATCCGCGTAGGTTTGAACTACTTTCTCGTTGACATTAGCTTTGTATCTAGCCCAGGTGGACCATATGGGATGCTGAATCATCCGTACGTTGGGGTGACCTTTCGGCTTACCCAGGTGGTTTTTCACCGCGTGCTGATGAGCAGTTTTCGGATCCGAGAAGACCCCTAATGTGGAAATGAGCTGGATGGTGTCGCGATGAAGATAGGGCGCTTTGTTCTTGGCGATCATGCACAGATATTTATCCCGATAATTGTTCTGATCGAGGAATAGCGGACTTTTCTCGTCCACATAGATGTAAATCCCTTTACTGGACAACCAATAACGTTCGGCTATTGCCATGTTTGCAGGATGCGTCGGCAGATACGGCTCCTCCTGGTAGTACATATGCTGCACGGGCCAGTACTGGTAGCGATGCTGTGGCCCACCGAACCATTGCGTGTCGTCAGTAAGCTGGAAACAATCGATAAGTTCACCTGCGGGATCGGCGAGCGTACGAGTGATAATGACAGTTTCGTGTTCGGCATCAGTGCTGATGTCAATGGATGAATTCAATTGACTCTTCGTGAAGAGGAGATTAACCATCTTGGTACCGTCTGAAACAAATATAGCATTTGTTCTTCATTAGAATCTGTAAAATGCGGCTAGAATCTATGTTTACAAAAATAGTTGAAAAGACAATTTAGGAAACAATATATATTATACATGTATATAGATAGTAGGAATATATGTGGAGCGCATACGGTTAGAAATTAACGGAAGTGAAAATTTAACAAAATAATAGGAAAAACACAGAAAAAAATTACGTATTATATTCACTCACCATTTTTCGTCAGATTGAGAACGATGAGTTTATTATTATCCTTTATTTCTAGATCGACAATGCCAGTTTTTAAAGGAATTTTTAAAGGAATTTTTCCTGCAGCAACAGTGAAGAGTAGCAGTATTATGAAAGAACGCATCGCTGAAACAGGCGCAATTATATTAATTATGTTTCTTAGATAATACAAATGTCTTCAAGAAATAGCGCAAAAGCCTTTAAAAAGATACTGTGTAGATGTATAGTGCTAATGTGTCTCTCAGATACGTCGTTTGTATTTTCGTCTGTTGTTTGATTTTGATCCAAGAAAACTGTTCACTCTTACCGCTCCGTTCCAATGGTTGCATTTTGCTCGTTATACCATCACTGACGACTAAATAAGCAACACTGCTCATGCCGTCGGTTTATACGTAATCGTCGCATGACAGAGATGTATTCTACTGATATTGTTATATCAGCACAATGAATATCAATCACGTTCGGTAAATAAACGTTCCGCACATCCAATAACTAAAAATAGGATATACCGAAAAAAATCATAAATCATGTAACAAAGCTAGTTCTTACATTGCATATCACTATTACATTACGTAATGGTGTGATATCCAATTTCTAATTATCGATATCCCTGCAAGATTCTCTGTGATTAATATATTAATTATACTTTGGCCAATTATTTTGCCCAAAAAAGTGTGACATAAGTAAAAAATACGTGTGTCTGCATTTTTATAACTTATCAATTTAAAAATGTATTTTTATCCAGAGAACATTAAGAGAAGCATCTATCAAAGCAACGTAAGGAAAAGGATGAAAATTTAACAGACTATACGGTTGTAGCTATGTACGAGCAGATTAAAAATTTAAAATTCTTCTGTATAACTGCTATTTTATACTTGTGTTATTTCTCTTGTACATAGGCGATATTCACGAATCACGGAATATACATATATACGTTTCTTTTATATCTCATTGTTAGTCTATATATTCGTAGGAATTACTTCGATACATTTATATAATTCTCATAAATATTTGTTGTAATAATTTTTAGTTCTAAACTATCTATTACATTTTGATAATTAGCTGCGTTGCACCTAGAAGTTGATGAAACCATGGCATTATCTCAGATATAATTTCCAAGCATTGTTCGGCTTATATATACTTGCTCGACGGAACATTCCGCTGTTATATCACGAAGAATATTAATCATGTTAATTGTCATCCGTAAATAATTAAAACTCGAATGTTCCGAAAAAAAAGCATACATTACATAATATATGCATTAATAATTAGTTTCTGCATTATAGATTATTACAAGAAAGATTACGGGGCGTGATATCCGATTTCTAATTACCGATATCTTTGTAGAATTTTCCGTTTATTGTGTATTCAGGTTTTCAAATATGATTTAATCCAAATTGTCAAATATAACTGTACGAAATACACATTTCATTGCAGTTCATTGCGATAAGTTTTATCCTATCAACAGCATTATCAATCACGAATATCAGATATTCTTTAAGATAAACACTATATCTATTTATTATATCTACAAAAATGTTAAATTGTAACGACATTGTATTAAATATATACAGAACAAATTCGGATGTAAGGATTCAAAGGAGTATTACTACAACGTTAAAATTATCGTTCTTACAATTTAAACAAGATAAATAATTAAAAGTAATGATATGCGTATTTTATTTTATTTTGATATATAATTTTTTTTTGTGCAACATTTGTCAATTTACTATTTTAATTCAAGATTAGAATTAAAAAGTATACTACATTTTATGAAACCATATGGTGTGTCACTCAATAGTTTGGTACACCATCGTATAGATGCAGAGTGGCCACATCCTGGAAGACCCCTCTATTAAATAAACAAATTTCCCACCGTTACCCTGTTTGAACGATAGATTGTCCTCGAAGTGGGTGAATGCGAAACGAGCACAGCTCCATAACAATAAATAGAGATGTATCTTCGGGATCATTTCGCGTCTACGTAGTTTACTCTTACGTCAAGGAAAGTTTTTTGTTCGTAATATCGATCGTGCGTATGATACCTCTCCCCAGAATGTAAAAGTCCTCGATCATCGCTGAAATGTTTAAGATAAGTTTGCCATCGGCGTCGAGTTTCCTGCAATCGGTGTCCGACACTTTGAAATCTTTACGCTCGAGAGCGGTGGGTTTCAACAGAACGCCGATTACCGAGCCACCATAAGTATCATGGAAAAACAAGGCATAGTCCCCGTAACCGTCCTGAAAACGAAACAGACAGTATAGAATACAATGCTTCGAAATATTTGATATTTAATAATAATAATCATTTATTTATTGTATATGTAGCATTTAAATAAAATCGCATATGAATTGTTTTTCTCTTTTGAAAGTGCATACATCGATGCAATTTAATGAGATTGACAGTTTGTAGATTTAATTGTTAATAACTTATTAATATAAATTATCGGGATGCTTACTCTTAAATCTTTCAAGAAACATTGTACAGGATCAAAATCCATGACTGGAATCTTTTGAAGTGAATGGGTCTTGTAAGGATGTAGATCTACTATTTTGGCTTTGCTAGATGTGTCGACTGCTTGCAATCTTCTAGGGATCATACTTGATTTCAAATGTAACAAACAATCGTATTCCACGAGCGGAGGGCGGAATATGGGTTTCACATCCAGGACTGAATTATTAAACGAGTCGTCAAATAATTTCAGCGATTCCTTTGCAATCATGCTCATCCGGTTTAAAACCAACTGCGACGGTGCTTTCCTGGTCCACAAGGATTTCTGCTGATCGTAGGGAGTAGATATGAATAAGAGCGGTAGAGAACTGCGAGCTGTACTAAATAACTTTTCTACGGCAACAATTTCTTCATCTGTAAAATTGAATATGGCATACGATATATTGTCTTACGTAACAAGGTCAGAAGCAATAATAAATTTGAAGTGAGTATTTCCTCTAGTTATCGTTAATTAATTTCGATTTTAGTATCAATTCATAAGTTCAATTACGTGACCATTTCACGATGACGCATTACGGAAAGTTACAGTGTATTGAAAAGTAGAAAACATATGGACTTACTGGTCATCTCGCCATTGAAATTAACAATAACGAGCTCGGTATTCCAATGATTTCTCGCAATAATCTCGAGGAATCGTAGAAATGCCACTTGTGGCACCTGGGCTGGTTTATACGGCTCCGGTGCTAGATACAGCGATGCCATGAGTAGTTCAATCACAACTCCTGGTATGTGAGAGTCGTCCATTAATTGCGCCGACAACCATCGTTTCGCTAAGCAGCAGGCGGGACCAAACGATGGTTGCTGAGAATGCAACCTGATAAAACGAGAATATCATATATTGCATATCTTTTTTATAAAAGTATGATTTTTATATTAACCATCTTTGTAGTTTACTATTAATTATGGTAACGTCTCTAATCACCACGAAGTTTAAGAAATATCTGCGACGATTAAATTTGACACAAAAGGAATCATTTAGAGAAAATGTTATTTTCAAAAATAAAAGATATACTTTTAATATTCTGTAAGAATTATCTTAACAAGAATTCATCAATTTTTACCCATGCAGAGCGCTACTCAATTTCGGCAAATGAAACAATTTGTTTTCCAGTTCAATGGATTCCACGTTGTCTCTGTATTTAATCACTCCATCCTCCTTGACTTGTTTCATCAGAGCAATTTCCTTCTGGAGTGCCACTCTTAATCGGAAAACGAATCCGTTCTGATAAAAGGAGAATTTCATATTACATAAAGAAAAATACTGTTATAAATTTGCAATATACAGAATAATTCATTTACAATACAATTGTTATTACAAATACTATACTACTATACTGTAATACTGTTAAAATAATTCATCATATTAACCTGGTACACATCCACGTAAGAAGAACTGGCCTGCACTTTCATTTCATGCTGAGTTCTGAGGCATTCCGCAATTTGTATATGAAAAGCTGCCTTTGTCTTCTTAATGGCTTCCAGTTCCTCGGGCCATTTCCCACTAGTTGATAATTGTAACGTTGCATCGAGCACGTGAACATACATGGGACATTTTGTGATGTTCTTTGAAAGGATCAAACAATTTTTGTCCTCTTCGGTGACATTATTGATCTTCCGATGGACAGTAGCAAGCGGCGGAAAGATTTCCGCGAATCGGAAAACCGGGCTCGAGCCCTGCACACCGTTTATCGGCAGAGGCATATCGTTCAGCGACATCAAGTTCTTTTCCAAGGTGTTAAAAGCTTGCAGAACCTTTAACGTAGCTTCCTCACCGGTCCCATATACAAAGTGCGTTATTTTGTGCTAAATAAAAGTATATAGTCATGAATTACGCAAAAAATGGAAAAAACGGAAAACGATTGTATTAAGTAGCACTTGTGAAATTACCTTGTGCAATCTTAACAAATCTTCCATTTGATCCGCGATATATAAATAGTGATATTTTGAGATATTAAACTTTATGTTTAGCAGAAACACTATTATCTTCTTGCATATTATTCTCTTGTCCGCCAGAGTTTTGCCTTTTGACCAAACCACAGCCTCACGAATAGTTCCGTCTTTAAATCTACGTATTTCGGACTTGGCGCCCCAAAAATTTCTAAAGTCAGCTGCCTGCAAAATAAAACACGGAGGCTTATTGTACCTTGCTATGTACAATATAATAAATAATAATTTAAAATAGTATTCTGCCTCAGAAATCATTAGACTTCAATTATTACACATTCTTTATTATCACGTTGTTTAAGACATTATTTCAATAGCTTGTGCTTACTTCTGGTAAATTAGCTTCAGGCCCTTTGTCCACAATGTCGAAACATGTTTCAGGATTCAATTCTAGTCCAATAACGAGCTTCCCAACACTATCTGGCATCTCCTCGGTGCACTCCCATTCCTTACATACACTGGGTAATACGCACAATCGATTAATCCTATCTCCTAGACCTCTTTTCAGAACATCGGAAAGTAACTTAATCGCCTGACTACGTTTATCAGGCCCGTAATTCAGTTTGTTTTCAGTGCTAGATTTAACATTCACCATATTCTCTAAAACTGACTCTTCCTGAAAACTACACCAAACAGGAGTGGCGAGTTATTAAAATGAATATGGCACTCTCAAATACAGAAATTATCGTAATATGTTCTCTTCGTATAAATTACCATAAAATGTGATCGAACACTCTGTTAAATGGTACATTTTGCATGAAAAGTGCATGAAAGCTATCCACGTGTATGTTATCCAAATGCTTCAGACACAACGCCGCTTCTCTCTGTACCCATGAAAAGGTATCCTTCGACAGATTCGCCGCGAAATTGTGATAACCGGTACTGTCAAGAAAAACACAATCGTAATAATTGTGATAATGTGACACTTGTTTCGCATTATCCTTGTCCACGCACATGGTAATTCCGTTCTCGCACCAGTTCCCTTGTTCTGTGTCAAATAAATACAATCGATATCTCAGATAACGCATGAGAACAGCGTAACTTAACTGGCTACTTTTTTCAAATACCTAGACAAATCCAGACGTTCCGTACAATCTGATAGCTACTCATGAAAGTGTTGAGCTTCCTCTCGCGCAGTAAGTAGATTACGAACATAGTAACGATGTGGCTGGTGAAGCCGTCGTAGCCCTTGTTCAACCCGCGTTGGCGCAACCATATTTTCAGCAAGATTATACCGTCCCTCAAATTTGGATACTCTTTTATCGCTTGCACAATCTCGGAATTTGTTTTCGACATTACTAGGTCGCGCAATACCAGAGAATTGTAGTGCGGTGTGGGCGGTAAAGATGCTACACGAAAGGAAGACAATATGAAAAATAAGAATCATAAGTTTCCGCGGATCTACAGAATGATCCGTGTAAAGTATTAAAAATCCATGCACCAGCGTGTAAACTATCGTACCGTCTTCCACAGGCTTCTCGTCGAAATACCATCCTGGTCTAACGCTGTTTTTCTCCGGCAGAAATCTGTTTAATTTAAAGCTAGTGTCCTGTGCGGATACGTGTATAACTACGTCCACCTTTTTGTTCAACCTTCCGCTGGGCCGAAGTTTCAAGGAGGGTGTTAGACTGTCGCCGACAAATCTCATGCTCTCCGCGACGTCGCTCCCTATAGCCGATGCCACGAATGCCAGGTATGTCGCTCTTTTTCTAAAATACACGTAGTTCTGATAATCCTGCTTCCGGAATAAACTAGCCGGCATCTCCACCATTACGTCCACGGTAAAGGAAGGCCCGAGAGCACATCCGGAATCGTAGGAGCCAACCGCGCGAACGCACGACGGCTTCAAGAACTTAAAAACGCTTTTGGTTTCCTTCGGTATTTGCGGCACGGGAACGCGAACGGCCAGTTTATGGTCCAAATCATTATCTACCAGCTGCAAAGTACATCGATATAATAGATCAAACATTATCTTATTGCCCCGTGTCGCGCAGCTCAATCGTACTACTAACCGGAATTTCTTGAGTCTCTTCGATAGACTCAATCGCTGCTTTCAACTTTCCGAACCAAGTCTCGAACAGCGTTACATATTTATCTGCGAGTCTCACTTCGTTGCAAACCTCTTCGATTTGCAGACGGAACAAGTGCGAGTGAAATAGAGTCTCGGTTTCTCTAAGCTGGCTGAGTTCCTCGACCGTCGGCTGCCTGTACAAGGAGGTGTTTTCCAATTTCTTCTTCTTCTTGGGCACCTTGGTTAACTCATCCGTGACTTTCTTCCTCCTCTTCCCTTCATTCACCGCGCTCGTTTCGTTTTCGCCCACTCCGAGGGCAACCTGTCGTTCAGGCAGAGCGAGAAATTTATTTATTTACTCGAGGAATCTGCAGGGGTGTAGCCACCGCAGACTTCTACGCTCTACCTTCCAGCTGAAAAGTGAGGCAAGAGTTCCGCCATGTCTTGTTAGATAAATAAAGTTGCTCACGTGTGCATGTCACTGACAGACCGATACCTTTTCAGCTCAAAGGCAGCACAGTTGTATAGAAGTCTGTGGTGGTTACTTTGTATCCATACAATGATCTACGAATCCATTGAGGTCTGGTCTCACCAACGTTATTTAACTCGAAGCTTAGCTTAATTCGTTCTTCGTCTCTTTCCAGCTGTTACTTCAGAAAGGGGCAAACATAAATTAAACTAAGATTAAAGCGACGTTTGGTGAAACCAGGCCCGAGTGAGATACTCCGCATCGCTTTGGAGTCATGTGAATTCATACACCGTTTTGCGTCTGTCTTGCGGACATAAAGCCCAATGTCCACGATGCTAGAACTCGGTCCAAATTCTAGTTTCGAGAAATCTGTAGCCAATCAACGTGCAGCTATTCCATAAAAGCTGCAAGTTGATTGGCTACACGTTTCTCGAAACTAGAACTTGGACCAAGCATCGTGGACATTGGCCTTTACACAGTTTCGTTAGACAGAACATTGTCGTCAACAAAAGGTTTCGCATCTAACTAGATGGAAGAGGTTGTCCGAAAAGAAACCGGCGCACAAGGCGGATGGAAAACCGGTATATGAATTCACACAAGATTTTGACTTACTGGGCTACCTACATCCTGCTTAAAATATATATATTAAAATATATACAATTATGCGCCAATACGTCGAATTTAGAAGCGACAGAGATACTTTCAGTCGGCGTTACTGCACGGAAACACAATAAAACAACTTGAGGTTAGAGATCGAAATCTGACCCGCTGCCTCGCCGAATAAATAAGACACGTTAATAGAACCTGGCGTACCGTCGTAGGCCCCTTCATTTTCCCTCCGCTGCTACGTCACTCTCGGAAACGGATTTCAATTCTCGCTCGAGACTCGCAAAAAAGCGATATACTGGCTGTGCTATCTCGACGCGTCTTGCCACACGTGCTCGCTTGGCTCGCCAGGCTCCCACCTCCCACGCTTTCCCGCAAACGTGATCAAATCTACGCGTCGCGACATCTCTCCTTCTTGCTTCAGAAGCTCACGCGCCTCCTCGTCGGTAAGAGCCGGGCTCAGGATCCTGCAGTTATCTGTTTTACCGACACATTCGAATGCAGTTTTTGCGCTGGTAAATCTTTTTATTTAGCTTTTACGCACGAATTAATGCCAGGATAAGTTGCGGACAGAAGTCTAACGAAAGAGATATTGTTATTTTGAGCATAAAAGCTAATGGAAAGATTTACCAGCGCAAAAAAAAAACAGATGACTCCAGGATCCCGCACGTGTGCGATATTGACGAATTAGGGGATCACGACCGCGGCGAGAGCCGCGCGTTTCCAATTGGAACGCCACCGTTCCGCGAAGTAATCGCATTGCAGATTCCTCAAACGCGATCCGTCCCGCTTTTCCGGTAAAAGTCGTTGCGTAACGGCGGAGATCGTTAATCGCGACGTACGCTCTCACTTTACGTCGTCGTCGCTTCGCGCGCGCGGAAAGGATCGTTCGTGAAAGCGCGCGCGGGCGAGAGAGAGCCTCCGAGGGTGCTCGAGGGCGCGACAGTTATCGGCGGATGCAGAGGCGCGACAACCCTTCTCCTCCCCCCGCCCCTCCCCCCACCCCCTGCCGGCCGCGACTGTCGACGGCGATGTCAATGACAGCTGGAGCGCCGACGACGGCAGTGAATCAAGCGAATGGCGTACGCGCGCGGTGAGCGCGCCTGTGCTCCGAGTGCCAGATCGAGCCTCGCCTGACGTTTCGCGCGAACGCCCCGGGCTCGCCGCGGCCGCCGACGTTCCTCGCGCGGTCCCCGCGACGAGGATGCGCCGCGCGTAGAGGAGTGGCCTCCCCCGCGCGCGCACAGAGGAGTCCGGCGGGCGCCGTGCGCGCCGTGTTTATCGCCCATCCGCGGATGTTTACGGCTGGCATGTTAAATGGCAATGAACATGGAAGTGGCGGAGGCGTCCGGGGTGGCGTCCGACGACGCTAGCTCGCCGGGCGGACCCGCGACCGCGCTCGAGAGCGGGCCGTCGCTGCGCGCGGCCGGCGGCGACGGCGGCGACGACGACGGCGGTGACGCGCGACCGACGACGAGCGACTGCGCCGCGACGGGGGTGAGGCGCGAGGAGGTCGCGAGGAGCTCGCCGCGGCCGGAGGAGCTCGACGCCGAGGGTTCGCGCGCGCCGCAGTCCCCGTTGGCCTTCACCATCGACTTCGGCGGCAGCAAGGAGGTGGACACGGCGAGGTATCAGAACCTCTTCGAGAGGTACAACGCCAGGCACAGGCGGAACCTGTCCACGTCCAAGGTACCGAGGGTTTTCTGTCCTTCTTCCCGACATATGTCCCGCCCAAGGGGACATTTAAACGCGTAAACAAACTGTTAGCGGCGTGCCAGCAGCTTGCCAGCGACTGATTCCAGCAGAATGTCACAGCGGATTGGCATCGAGCTCGCGCTCCGCCCGCAGAGAATGCAATCTGACGGCATATTGCCAGCGGAAACCAAACGGAATTACTCCGTGATCGTTTAGATGAATGTATTCGATTCGTTGGAATCATGAAGCGGCAGATTCTGATTGATTTCCGATTGATGGCCAGTCTGTCGTCACGGGTTCTGCTAATAGATTCTGTTACATTTCTGCTGGCATTCTGCCGAGTTTGCAGAAGACGCTGTACGCGATCTCTCTTCGACAGATTTAGTTGTTCGTGCAGCGAGCTTGGATGTTACAACCGTCCGTTTGTAATCAGATACATAACTGTTGAATCTGATAAATTGTCATTCCATGTAATCTAGATGTGATATAAGAACATAAAATCGCATTAAATTCTCTTGTCAAAGAGCTTTGCATAAAATGTGTATTGTAACGATGGTTTTAGGTAGAGGTGAAATCAAAGAAGCCGGGCACTATACTGTCTCCAAACTTGGTGCAGAAGCAGAAAGTTCCTAGCACTCATTCGGAGGGTTACTTTAGCAGCGAGGACGATACGAAGCGAAAATCTGACCAATTATCAGAAAGACTCAAACAATTAGGTAAACAGATATCGGCGCTTTCGCTCCTCCTTTCTCTCTTTCTGGAGGACAATTCCGTTTGATATTTACAATTAATGTATTTTAACTTGTAAAAAGTCAATAGTTGCAATGATTACTTAAAAAATTAAATGTATAAAAAGGAATAATGTTGTATAATATTTTAAGTTAAATAACAGTTGCTTGCAAAATTCATTATTAAATTGCTTTACTGAGAATAGTCTGGTAGAGGAATCTTTAGAATGGATTCCTGTATTGGAACTGAATACCAGTATGTATGAGTCATGGTGAAGTCATGTTCTTGGAGCTCCTTAATATTCCTTACAAGTGCCTTCTACCTATCCTGAATGATGCAGCCTGCTGACATATTAATGACTCTGGTGTCATAATCGTTCCTATCTTAGGAGTTATGCGTGATTTTTCTCCAGAAATTATAAAGAATACTGACTTTCAATTCGTCATTTTTATGCCGATTCTATTATTTTTTAAGATGATTTTCCACTTCGCCTCCGAATTACAACGACTAGAAAGCAGATCTGCTTAAATTTTTAAGAAATTGCACGCATATTAATTTTTATAAATAAATTTTTGTTACTTTTCCTACATCTTATTTCGATACTAATTATTAATTCGATTCTGTATATGGTCCTTCAGGTGTCAAGAATCCTCTGAGAGCACATTCTAGCACAAAGAAGTCTACGAGTGAACAAGTAGATCCCTCTCATCAAAATAAACACTATTTAATGACAAGGTCCTGTGATGGTGAATTACGTCACAGTCAACTGTCGTCTCAAGGCCTCTCTCTGGAATTGGAAACCAACGAAAACGTGTATTGGACATCTCAGAGGTCCGCGACGATAAACGATCTGAGTCGCATTCAGATCAGCAATTACGACGACGACGAAAATGAGAAGCAGTACACGAAGAACATCGAATATATCGACGCCAATCACGAGTGCAAGGAAGTGAACGAAGTGAACGATGTCGAGGACAACAACAAAGTGTCTAATATGAATTATCTCACTGATGATTTCAATATAAAGAATTCCAACGAGCGAGAGAACAATTTGTCGAGCGATCAGAGAGAGCAATTCGTTAGTTACGCGATGGATCTGAACGCGGACGATATAGCGGATACCAATCTGGATGTGTTTAACGTCAGCAACGTCGACGCTAGTTCCGATGGTGCGGTGAGCGAGGCTGGAACGTACACGATCCACAAGGACTATACCGACGAGGAGAAAGCGAGAATGGACATCGACAAGGTTTTCAGCGTCGGCGTTCTAACTGAGGACGAGAGCAACGAGGCATATGTTCATAATTTTAAGGTAGATAACGTCTACGAGCGTCCGCGCGTGTATACGTAATGTTTACGAAATAATCTCTTGTTTTACAGATGAGCATTTCGCGCGATAGTAACGCGTGGATATCGGAATGGGCTACTCAAGTAGCGGAGCATAACTCTCTACCTCCGATAATAGGCGGCTCGACGGGTCGCACGCCGCCTCTAAGTCCCACCAAGATACCGTCTCCAATCCACGCCAGATCTCAACGAGTGTCACGTAACCACTGTGTATGCATCGCGCATTTTCAAGTATATATAAAAACGATGAGAGCAGCTGTGAAATTTATAGACAAATTTTTTGTAGAGTAGCAATGTTTTTTATAGTTTCCTCAATATTATAAAAATCCAAAGACTTTATTGTTCCTTTTCTAATTGTCTCGTGCTTTTTCTTTTTTCCCCTGCTCTAAACATTTTTACTTCTTTGGGACGCAGGAACAGTCGCCCGACCGCAATCTGGACACGGACTCGTATGTACGAATAAAAGAAAGGCTCGGTTTAGTTTCAAGTCAGCATCAGATCATAGACTCCGGCGGAGAATCCGATGACGACACCAGCAACAGTTACAACACGCCGCCTAACAGCTCACAACGTACACCTGTACATAGTACCGTAATTAGACGTGGCAGCTTGTCCGAATCATTGTTTCGGCGAGCGAACAGCAACGAAAATAGGCGAAGCGTCCGAAAATACTTAAGTTCAGCCAAATCGAAGACTGCTGATACTAACGTAGAATTACTGAAGAGCCCGTCCCAAGTCTTATCACCTCTCCATTTTGAGAGAAGGAGTAGCTCTCTAGATAGGTAAAGGATCCGTTTTACATTCCGATAAATTAATCTGTTAACAATAATTAGCAGTTTTTGTCAGCGGTAGAATGTACAATTTCGTAACTGTATAGATTAGTATCGAATTGTTTTACGCTTTGAGAAACTCATTTTTCTGTAATACAGGAAAGAATATGCTTCTGATACAACGGAATCTAATACGTCCAGAAGGAATAGCGCGAAGTATAAGGAAGATCTTAAACATACGAACAATCCTGTTTTAAGTCATCTCAGACCACCCACACCGAAATTGACTAACAGCCCAATTGTTAGCCGCAAGGCTGCTACAGCAAAGATTCTCAATTCTCCCATGTTAGACAGGCCTAAGCATTTGGCGAAATCGTCACAAGCGAAAAATATAGGATATTTTACGTGCGTTGAAAATAGGTACATATTTTTCATGTTCATTACATTACATAGGATTTTGAAACATCACATTTTCAACAATTATAATCTCAAAGCGATTAGTCTCATGTATGTTTATTCTTTTATAGTCCGTATATGCTGAGAAAATCCAACAGCACTACAAACTATCATGAAGGAACTAGTTATTTTGATAAGGACGTGTCTTTTAAAGCGCCTAACATGCTACGAAACAGTCCAGAGCTTCAGCGGCATCTCAATATACAAAGATCGTCAAGTAATGCGAGTATTAGAAACATAAAGTCGCAGAATCTCGTATCGCGTCGCAGTAGCTTCAACAGTGACATTGATAGAATATCAAGAGGAAAGTATGCCTCTATTGTTGCCTCCGATAGTAGTAGCGAAGCTGGGGAACAATTGAGAAAGTCTCCTCTGATGCCAATCTCGTCTGGAATTAAGTTGAATAGGGCCTTCAGCATAAGAAGAGCAAGGTATCTCACTCGAAAAGTATAAGAACTCCAGCAGTCTTCTGTTTTAATTTTCTATAATAAATTAAAAATGGAATGTATTATTTACAGATTAAACTGCGAATCCGATACAACGCCGAATACAACCCCCGAGGAAAGGCGTAGAAGAGCGCAGTCCGAAGTTAAGACTGTAGCACCTGTGACTAAGCAACAAAGCTATCATCGTATTCGCACAAATAGTGTTGGAGCGCACAGTAAGGAGTTATCGAAGAAACCTGAGACAACGAAGTTCAGAGCGCCGTCTATATCTAGGACCGATACCGGGAGATTTAGTATGAGAGCTCCAAAACCGACTCACGTAAGCATCTGCATAAGAGATTACTTTGTCTGCGGGATACTTTGAATTATGTTTCTTGTCCTTTTTTTTCTCAAGCATCCCCCCGGTAGCCAGAAAACCAATCAGAAGCCAAGTAAAGATCACAAAAAGTCCGGCAGAAGTAATTCCAGTCTTACGTCTAAGGAAGTGGAGTTTCAGAATTGGAAGAGGCGGAAAAGTTACGATCCGATGAAAGCAGCGGCCGAAGGGAGAAAGAAATTAATAGACAGTACAAAGAAACATCACAGTACCGAGGACGGTTCTGGCAAGTGAGTGATACGGAAACATATACGGAACATTTGCGCGGGCGGTAAACGTATTTCAGTTTTCGTAAAGTGAGATGTGTGATTCCAGTTATGACAATTCCGTGCTGAGATCTGCAAGTTTTCATGGTACAGGAGGTGCTCTCTCGTTAGCCAACGATTGGTCGGATAATGAGTTAAATTACTGTTATGAGGATAACCAAGTACCACCGCCTAGTAGTCCGCAGCTGGTATGTTCTGGGATATAATGCTACTAATTAATAAACTGTAATCGTATAGCAAATGCTTTATAAAATCTGTAATTGATTAGGAGAGCGACAGTGATTTAGAGACTTCATCTTATCTGCAAACAACTCAGAATGTCGTATCCGCAATGTCCGCTCGCATGACAGGATACCGTCCTCCGCTCGTTTCCGACAACGAGAGCGACGAAGACACGAGTCACAGCCTGCATCAGAATATATCGAAAGGATTACGCCATCCGAGCGATACGGAGAGCAGCGACGAGCAACATCCTATGTCACAATCTCCTGTCTCCAATACTAAATACAACAAAGAATTTAGGTGCCTACACTTCCCTTTTCTCGTATTTTGATAATATTTCTCTGTGCGTATTCAACTGTCTCTTTTTAGTTTGCGTAAAGCAAAATTGGATCTGCAACGAACAAAACCCGTGTCTTCCAATATGAGCAAAGCTAAGAATTTATCACACGACGCTCACAGCAAGTCTGAGTCGCTTTCCAATATCAATAGAACAGATTCTGGACGACCTAGCACACGAGTTAATAGAGGTTTGAGCACGGTAAGAATAACATCTTTTCAATTTTAATATAGTAAAGTTTAGCGTGTAACACACAAACACATGTATGTGAATGTAGGGGCCTAAAAGCAAACCAAAGGAACCGAAAAAGCCGTTGGCGCCAAATGTACGGGAAGTCGAGATGCAGAATTGGAAACGTCGCAAGAGCTATGATCCCATGAAAGCTGCTATGGAAGGACGGAGAAAAGCCGGTCTGGCGAAGAAAAATGCAAATTTGTCGCCGAGGTAAATCATTGATTTGACTTTTCATAAACGAAGAAATGATATATGAAAAATTTTTTTGGCAACGCAAAAATCCAGATGTCACTGTGTCTTTTGCATTGTCTAGTATATGTTATTATTCTACTAATTGAGAAAACAATTATTTTACTTGTTATACTTTGTTGTTAGGACCGATAGTGATCGATAATCTAAAAATAATGTGGCAAAATAAGCAAGCGGTATGATACAAACTCATTTGAACATTTTAGATTCTCTCATTTTATGTAAATTCTCTTAAGAGATACATTTTTAATGGATGTTTTTCACTTTTCAAAGATATGAGACACTTTTTACTGACACAAATGCTTGTTTTTTGTATTGCACTAACTCAGAGCTCTTGCTGCAGATTAAAATTTTAAGAATAATAGAACAGATACTGTACCTATGTTTTGCATTAGTTCACTTATATTTTAGTGATGTGATGCTTTTGCACTTTGTTCATTATCTAATTTCCTATCGTTCATAGCGTTCTATCAGACAATCGAAGACTCACATTTATTTCTATGGAAAACAATATAGAGTTATAATTAGTTCTGAATACAAAAGTCTAATAATTTTATTTGTTTAATATGGAGATTTGACTTGATCAAATAGTCTAACTTTAGCGATAACGTGATATGTAAATACGCGTTAACAAAGCTTTTTCATCTGCCTTTTGATAAAAAAGACAGTGTAAGTAAGATGGGAGAGATTTGTTTCTTCACTTGCTTGTAATTCAACTGCACTTTTACTTATACTTCTATCTGATTTTAGCCACGTAGCGAGATCACAGAGCTTTCATGGGTCAGTAGGATTAGTAGTCAGTGACTGGAGCGACGAGGAACCGGTCATATCTGCAGATGAAGGTCCGCTTTACTGAGATTGTCTCAGAGGAAGTGGGTATTACAAAAACGAGCACATATGTGAAAATAAGATGAAGCCAATTACAAAAATTCTGATATTCATATACATATATAGTATACAAATTGCAAAAATTTTACAGGATGTTATAGGAACTAAGCACTCCTATATCTAAATATAAATCTATTGAAAAGGATTGTACGAGCCAAACAATTAACTGAAAAAGTCTTTTCTATATTGTAAATTTGTGGGCTATCGACTTATTCGATTGCTAAATCCTGAGTTACAAAAATGCGCTTCCTAAAGGTGATACTTAAACATTATATGCTAAAATTTACGATATTAGTATTGAAACGTCCAATTGTTTGTAATTAATTTGTACGAGACCGTCTTAATTTATTTCGTACTTTTTATTATGTAAAATGGAAAGTATTGCCTAAATATAAGGAAATATTTCATTTGTACGATAATATTAAAAAGAAAAAGAAGATTAATAAAAGAGACTCAAAATATCTCAATTATCGAACGAGAATATAATAATAATATGGTATGCAATTTACAAGGAGTGCTAAATATACAGAGAAATATATGTGTGTCATTGGTTTAATTATGATTGGACCAATCGTGTAGCGTTTATGTACAAATGTTTTTATCTATAAAAGTGTATTTTATTTCGCACTGGTGCAGGCGATTCGTTTAATTATATTTAAAATATTTACTTGAATAATATCTTATAAAGCATATTTTTCAATAAAAATGGAAAGAGCAATCGCGCGAAAAAACTTTACGTATAGATTTATATATCTTTCTTTATTTTGCGGTTGATCAAATTATATGAGTTGCATTACTTGTAACAGCGGTCTTGAACACACATTGGTACTCGCGATTTCTTTCTGTTAATGCAATTATTGACAGAATTATCGACGGAAAGAATGTTGTGTTAAGCTCTCTTCCAAAGCGCGCAATAAATTATAGTAAATATTTTTCCTCTACGATAATTTAATGTGATCATGAAGGGCTTTACGATGATCTTAATCATTAAGGTGTATATATCACTATTGATGGATTTAATTGTCCATTCTTTCTCTTGATTCTTCTTTCATTTTATGTAAGAATTAACCGACATTTCTGTCAATTTGGTTCGAAGAAGTTGAATTATCTGTAACATACTCGACCAGGTAATATTAAATGACACTGACATAAGACATATTTTATACTTGTTCACGGGATTGTATCACTTGTTCGTCATGTGCTTGTTGTTCCAATATAAATTTGATGAAATTTTATCTGAATTTCCCAGAGAATTTGATGAAATGTATACAAATTCGTTGTGCATATCGCAAGCATTATGATAAAGAGTTATATCGATGCTCCCTTTATTGCATAATTCTTAAACGATTGCTCCATCATATTAAAGCAATTCCTCTATGTTTGCTTTAATATTTTAGCGTTCAAAGAATGAAAATTAAAATTGGTAAATTTATATTTTCTTATCAATATAATTTACAATTTATTAATTTGCGACATGTTTCTCACTGTGGGATTATGCAATAAAGGTTGCAGAAGAATGTGATATTACGACAGGAATAGAAAGTTACTGAGTTAAATATGGTAGTAATACGAACTTTTTTTGTTAGAAATTAATAGATAAATGTATCATAGTTAAATTTCCATTACATATTCGGTTCTAAAAATGTTTAATTCTGTATTAATTCTGTATGTTTTCTGCGCTGTGCAGAATTTGTTAATGTTGTAAAAATAATTATAAAAGTACGATGTATTTCTATCATTGAAATTTAAATTGATTTTTAATTGTTTGGTCAGTTGCTCACAAGAAATATTATTTCAAATAATATCTTTTCAAAATGCATTCTTAAATTTATAGAAAACTGACACTTGATAGAATCTATTATATTTTATGCAGTAACATGCCATATTGGAAGTTGGTCCTTCTTTTCTTTTTTTACAAATTTATGTATACAATTAAAATATCTTGCAAACGTACAAACTTCTCACAATTCGTGAACACAAATTTATTTCTTATTCTTTCCTTGAAAAGAAATGGGCTTCCAATGTGCACACACATACACGAACCACAATATTTCCAAGATAGATACAATAAAATACATAGCACGATGTATTGCGTTATTTTAATTTGTAACTGGAAATATGAGGGTCATAAAAATGAAAAAAAATTATAGTTTATCTTAATTTTATTTTTCTCGGAAAATATAATCTCGTGCAATAAAGAGAAATCTCATTATTTCTAAAGATACTTGCTGCTCAGATCCTCACTTTTCTAGGTAAATTTACCGAGCAACGATTTGTAAACTTATAAGTTTATAATTTTATTTTGCCAAGGAGCCTTTTCTTTTTATTATAAACAATACCGTATATCAATGAATGATGTCTTATCGTTATGATCTAAATCATCTTGTCTTTATGTTATGTGCACACAATTGCTGTTATTCGCATAATAGCGTACAAAATGTATGTGTTTCGCATCTTGTTTCGTCACACAGAAAGAAGCGTGTCAATATATAAAATAACAATGCGATATATTTTTGTATATTCGGAGCCTACAGCCGTAAGCGCGTTAAGTTCCAATTCTACAGTTGATTAACTTTTATTAGAATATGTACACAATTCTTTTGCAAAATGTTATTACATGATAGCGCGAAATATAATATCAGCATCTTAAATAAGAACGTGTCAGTCGATCATTAATTAATTAAGCCCATTATTCCGCCGCGAAACATAGGGACTCGACAAGTTGTCTCCACCTTCTCGCGAGTACTTCAGGAATCAGAATTCAGACGGGCAGGTGATTAGCCTGCGGCATCCTAGTTTGGTGTCAGGGCTGCTGACTTGATGACGACTAGACTCGCCAGTAATACATGTATGGCAGAATACTCTCGGTGGCTTGTTCATTTATTTGCTAAACAGCGCATATTTCTCTGCGCCACGCTCGCCACTATCAATCGATCATATATATCATAATAATATATAAATGTAAATCGCAAAGCAGCCGTTTATTTGGAAAGACAGCAGGCGATCGTGGAGAAGAATTGAACGCTACTCTAACGAGCTGAAGATCCGAATTAAAATCTGACTAGAAATTTCCGAGCAAGGAGTCTACCCCTGGTGAACAGAGATACTCGTCATACTCACAGCTTCGTGTAAGATATGGCGAAAAAAAAGATTTGTTCAACTCACTTTCTTAGACTCAGAAGACAAAGTAGCAATCCACAACGGTGATTGAGGGCCGTTTCCACCATCTCAATTAATTTAATCGGCTGATTCAATTAATATCAGAGGATGCGAAACTACTTCTTCAACTACCTAAGTTCCAAAGAAGTAATTTAATACAGATGTCATTTTTTTTACTATATCTTACACGAAGCCGTCAGTGTTGGCGAGTATCTCTGTTCACCAAGGTAGATTCCCGGTTCGATTTTTGAGTGTTGGACTCTCTCTTATATATAGAGAAGATGGTGAGATACTCTCGGGAGGTAACCAGTTCCTTCCGAGAGATAGACGATCGAATAAAAACCGACAATTTCTAGCCGGATTTGAACTCGGGATCTCGCTTACTGCAGCAACGCAAAACTCTTTGTGCCACACAATCACCACGTGGGTCTTATTGTAATAGGATGTATTATGACATTAGAGATTTCAGAGAAGATAGAGTTATATGTACATAGACAAACGGAAGTATGCCAGGCTGATATCCAGCATATATTGATAATTCTCTTGACGTCAAATGTTTTGGAACTGAATGGAAAAGATAATACCGAGATACAGCTGTCGGTTGAAACGTATATTGTTTCTGTAAGCGACAAACAAAACAAAGAGATTCTGAATTCACCGTAAAGCAATGTGAAATGCTAAAATCCAGAACAAAAGTTCGAATGCGGCAAACAATTTGCTTTTTAAGAATTTAGAAAATGAACTAGCCCATACAGCACCGAAACTTTCAGAAACATTTCAGAAACATTGCAACGTTGCAACAATGTTTTCTGAAATGTTTCTGAAAGCTTTGGTGCTGTATGGGAGATTATTGTTAATAGGAAGGCTAATACACCATCCGCTACACCGCTTATACTTCGAACTTTCGGTCGAAGAAGGACATCCTGAGGACATCCCGGACAAGTCCGGGATACATTTTCTTATTTCGAAAAATAATAAAGTGATATTTGGAAAGATGGTACAAATGCTTTCTAGGACGTACTGCAAGTCGATTGATATTCTGACAGATATCCGCGCACAGGCGGGTCGAAAATCTGTTTCTACTGTGGTTATTTGATAATAACGTCATCGTCTCGGTACCCCTTTTATTGTTTAATACTTGTAGACTCATGCCAATAGGTTTATCGATCGATTTCTTTCGTAAGCTATTTATCTATGACGCAACATTCAAGTGGTTTGTCTACCCTGATTTCTCTATTTATCATTGGCTAGACATTAGCTAGACTGTTGTTATAATAGATAAAATAGAAAAAACACTTTGTGGCGAGCGTGGTGCCTTTCAGAAAATAATTCTACAAAATTCCGCAAAAAAAATGTACTGCCAGAATCTAAGAAATTCTACGTAAATTTAAAAAGTGTTATAAAAATCATCATGAAAATGCTAGAATTGAAACACTTTTGTTAATTTTCGCAATATTCTACAAGTAAGCAGATGTTTCAATTCTTTAAGATTTTGTTGTTTCTCAAAATTTTAAAACTAGTAAAGTTTTGTACTAATTTTTTTACAAAATTGTACATTTTCATGAAACACTACTTGCAATAATTTCTTGATTAGAGAACATTGTAATTTGACGTACTATTTCGTCGATATTTTTACACAAATCTAAATGTTTCAACGAAGATGTAAAAATTTCAACAAATTTCTATTTCAAGTCAATTTTTTGTAGTTATTTATAGCAAATTTTCCGCCAGGGAATAGACTGTATTTCCGAAATTTATCATAAAACGTCGGACAATCTTTCTGACTATATCGTATCTCTAATTACTTTTCTAATATCAGCCAGAATGTAATATCGTCACTCGTGATAGCTCGTGAACAAAGCGCTGATATCAATCGACACAG